GGCACTACCCAGGGGTGACGCATCGGTTCGGGAGTTCGGCTTTGGCGCCGAAAAGGCTGCAGACTTTGAGGTCTTTGGCTCGGAAAATGTCCCGCGCAGTAGGGACATTTTTTAGTGAACAGACTCCACGGGGAAATCTTGTTCATACAGATCCTTTTGTTCGGTAGGGAGTTCATATGGTACGTTACGTAGTACGACATTAACATTACGCTCCTTCTAACCGACTTTGTGGTTGGTTAGTAGTCTAGTGAGGGCTCTGAAGTCCTTACCAGTGGGTGTTTCCACCCTGATAGCTATGTTTTTAGCGTGGGTAGAATTTATTTTGTTTTTAAGCTTGATACCTCTGTCCGCCTCGCCTTATCCTCGTTACCCGGTTATCCGGCTTGGGATCACATTTATTATTTTAATACTACAGTACAGCCTTAAGGTGGCGATTCGCGCCACGACAGAGACAGGGAACCACGACCGGAGACCGTGACCGTAAACCGCGACCGGAGACCGCGACCGGCGACCGCGACCGACGACAGCGACAAGTGTCTCGGTCTCTTCAGTATCGGAGAGTGTGTCGATGGAGTCAGTCGTGTTCTGTGTTATGATCGAGAACCAAGTTGTAGAACTTCTATTGGAGGAAGAAGAAGACGAGGATTTGCTCTTATACTATTGTTACAAATACGAAACTAAAAAAAGGTTACCTATTAAAGAATTATATTTAACTAGAGGTCAAGAAGGATCATTTTCGTTATTAGTGAAGAAGCACCTAATGTGGGATGACAATACATTCAAGAAGTATTTTCGGCTAAATAAAACACAGTTTGATTATGTATTAAATTTACTAAAGAAAACAATGCGTGAAAAAGGAAAAATATCGTTGAAAGAAAAATTAGCTCTAACTCTAAAGTAAGTTTGTCGTATTTCGAAGCATGAAAAATGCTTCGAAATGGTTCACTTGAAATACACTGGACCGCAAAGAAAACGGGTCGGTTAGAAAATCTTCAATAACTTGAAAACTACCTCACCTAGCTTTATGAAATAAAAACTCAATTAAAGAATATTTAATGTTATTTAACATAGTATATAAAACCTTTTTATTTACTTTAGATAATTGTGTAAGAAAACTGGCAATGAAGATAATGGTTGTTTTTCAATTTAGTTCTAAAAAAATCAAAGCATTTGTTTCGCATTTGTTTTAGTTTTGACATAAAAACTACAATAAATATCGTGTGTTTGTCATACAAAAATTGTATTCTGAAGTCATCATGTCGTTAACCCCTGAAGAATGCACCAGGATCCTGACAATGCTTGAAGATGGGCGCAGTCAGCGCAATACAGCGAGAACTGTTGGTGTGAGTCTTTCCACAGTTCAGCGGGTACTCCAGCGTTTCCATGAAACTGGATCCAACCTAAGAAGACCAGGAACAGGCCGAACGAGGTGCACGACTGCGCGGGAGGATCGCTATATGGTGTCAACAATTTTGAGAAATCGATTTCTTACGGCCGTTGAGGTAAAAAATCACCATTTACGAGCTGGAGGAAACTATCTGAGTACAGATACAGTAAGGCGACGTCTGGCTGAAGCAAATTTGAGACCATTAAGGCCTGCAAATGGCCCAAAATTAGAAAGACACCACTTAAACTCAAGGCTGAGTTATAGCAGAGAACACGAAACTTGGACTCTGGATGACTGGTCAAGAGTTATGTTTTCAGACGAGTCTAGATTCTGTTTATACAAGCACGATGGGAGGAAAAGAGTGTACCGAAGACCGGGAGAGCGCTATAACCAAGCTTGTATAGAAGAAAAAGTACCATATGGCGGTGGCTCTATACACGTGTGGGCTGGGATTTCTTCCGAAAGCCGTACTGAGCTAGTAGTGATAGAAAATGGCAGTTTAACAGCAGAACGATATGTGAATGAAATTCTTAATGACTATGTTGGTCCATTTTTAGTAGATATGGGCGAAAATGCTGTTTTTATGCAAGACAACGCCCGCCCGCATACAGCTCAGATAGTGTTCGACTATTTTCACGAAGTAGGTATCACATGCATGGAGTGGCCAGCACGAAGCCCCGACTTAAACCCCATCGAACATGCATGGGACGAACTGGGACGACGTGTACGTCAACGGAATCCGCCGCCAATCACGCTGCGTGAATTGAAAGGAGCTTTGATCGAGGAATGGCAGAACATTCCGCAGCATCGCCTTAAAAACCTTGTGGAAGGTATGCCGAATCGCATAGCCGCAGTTTTGCAAGCTCGTGGAGGCAACACGAAATACTAACATGCGTAAAAACGTCACATCTTTATACAATTCATATTTACGAAAATGTCAGAAAAACTACCTTTTTCATTCGTTTGACATTTATTGAAAATAGACAACTTTTAATTTGTATTTTTTTATATTCAATAAATTACAATTAAATAATCTTTAATTTAGTTTTTATTTCATAAAAATAAGTTAAGTAGTTTTCAAGATATTGACTATTTTCAAACCGACCCGTTTTCTTTGCGGTCCAGTGTATTTGGCAATTGGCGAGATGTTATGTCAATCAATTCACTTTGTGATTGGTGTTCTGTGGAGGCTATACTTATTGGCGAATATGTTTTATACGATGAAGTTGAAGTACATGGCAATTGGCGACATGATAAATCACTTTGTGTTTGGTGTTCCGATGAATCTGCACTTGTTGGAGAATATGAATAACTTGTATAGGGGCGTTCACCTTGTCCATCGATATCTCCGATCTCATACTTGGAGATAATATTAAATATTTCGGTTTTTGCCATCGCTCTTGATCGAGCGCTCAATTTTATTAGCATATTTTCAATGTGTTTAGTAAATGTAGATATATCATCGAATGATTGACCTTGCCATTTCAATGACTCCAGCGTATTATTTTGGCTTTCATGTCCGTCTTTCAAAAAATTTATAAATTCATCTTCTTTTTGTCTTTTTCTCTTTGTATTCTTGCTAGTTGATTTTTCGGAACTTTTACTTTGTGGTATAGATCTTTCTTGTGTAGAAATTCCTGGTACAGGTTCTACTAACTCCCTTGAAATAGTATTATGTACTGACGCGTTTGCGGCTCCGTGTGGAGTATCTTCATATCCAACTTCTGAGGAGGTATTAGTAACTTCTTGTACTACACTGGTGGAGCTTTGCTGTTCTTGATCTACACTGGTGGAGCTTTGCCGTTCTTGATCTACACTGGTGGAGCTTTGCCGTACATATGGTGTGTTTTCTAAAAATCTTAAACGTTCATAAAATTGCCACTTTGAATTTTTATCTGGTGCTGAGGTAACCAAAAAATCTACCAAATTCGAACATAATATTACCACATTTATTAGTTGGAGATGAAGCAGTTTTGATTTTTTGATGATGAAATCTTACGCTAGAAGAGTTGCAAAAAAACGATTTAAACAAAGAATTATTTAACTACCGCCTTTGTCGTGCGAGACGAGTATCGGAAAACGCGTGTTTAGAATATTTTACACGCCTATCGGAATAGCGCCGGAAACATGCACTGATATGATCTTAGTTGCCTGTTGCTTGCATAACCTATTAAGAGATGGATTTTTAGAATCTGCTCAAATGTCCGTACATCAATTTGGTAATTTTCCGTAAAGAAAATTTACCTTCAAATTTCGTTTCATTACGTGGAACAGGAGGGTTTTCGAACAGCAACGGACTAGATATTAGAGCAAAATTAACCGATTACTTTATGTCACAGCAAGGAGCGGTATACTGGCAAGAACAACATGTCACACGGCTTGTTTAAGTTGATTCCACATGTTTCCATTCAAATATTAATTCTATGCAAAAAAAAAATAACTCACCTGTTTTATTTATGGTTTCAGTTATGCTCATCCAAATACTGTCCTTCAAATTTTCGTCTCTGTAGGATTTTCGTCTGTCTAGTCGTGCATCGTATATCTGAGGGTGCTGGCTGATCAGTTCAATCAGCGTTTCACAGTCTTCGTTAGAAAAAGTATTCATTTTTAAACACTAAACACACGTGCTTTTCGAGCGCCACACGAAACACTACTGGTCTGAGGAAGCGAACAGTGTTTCCACTATCGGGTTTTGATTTTGCCCTAGTTTTTTTTTACATCGCCCTAAATTGCCCTAAACTATGCTCCAAAATCCCTGATTCAGGGCGAAAAATTTAAAAAGTTAGAAATAAAACAAAATCTTTGTGTTCACCTTTTTATTTGAATAAAATGATAATGTAGAAAAACGAAACAATTGTATTAAAATGTACGAAGAAGCAATTAATCATGCGAAGTACACGGTGAAAAATATGATGCTGAGGTTGAGGCTGATGTATTGGCTTTTAACTTTTTAGCTGCATTCATCATAGCAATATCAGGTTCCAAAATAGGGAAACAAAGTAAGTGTAACAAACCATTAAGTGTTTCGTTGTGCAGTTTGTTTCTTTTATCGGATTTTACATTTTTTAACACACTGAATAATCTTTCAACCTCTGTGTTTGAAGATGGTAGTGCTAACAAAAGTGAAATCACAACTTCATGATTGTTATATTTGTAATTTCCGTGTTGGTCTTTGAAGTTTAAAACTTTATTCCAGTATACTTCCGCAGATAATTTTGTAATATCTTCATCACTTTTAACTTCAAAATGATTCACATCAATGAGGGCTTGTTGCCGCCACTCATTATCTACTTCCTGTAAATTGCATTTTTTTGCCAAAAAAGTAAATTGTTGCATACAGGCCTTAAACTCTAACATGCTAAACGTCGTGCAATTTGCGGATCTACATATTTTATTAAATTAAACATACTTTCGTCTAAGTCAAATCTGGTTTGTACTTGTAAAACTATTTTCAATTAGAATTCCCGACAACTTGAATAAAATTTATCAACTTAATTTTTTGGAGCTTTTGTTTTCAAATCTTTCAACATATCATATGCATCCAAGCCAATATAAATGTGATTGTTATCCAAGTGGAGTTCAGTTTTATTGATATCTAGGTGCATAAGATTCTCTACTTTTGGCTGTATAAACTCTTTTTTGATGAAACTGCATAAAATGGTCTGTAGGTCTTTTGAACCATTTCAGGCAGTTTATACAATTGTGGAGATTTTGACTGGAAGAATTTATTGAAGTCATTAGTTATAGAAAAGACATAACTCATGAAATCTAGCAATGCTTTGTTGAACGGGTTATTTAAGCTCCTCATAATGAAATCATTTGTGTTAGACGGATCTTCAAAAACTGCTTCCGTGAAAAATAATTTAAGGGCATCATATTGCTCTAATATCCTATCAACACACGCTTGTAGTGAAAGCCATCTAGTATTCGCTGCAGTAAGTAATTTATGATGTTCAATATTCAAAAATTCTTGAAACTGTTTTAAGGATTCAGTTCTCTTTGGACTCATGTGAAAATATGCAGGTATGTTGCGGCACAAATCTTCCAAATTTTTGGGTAATTTACGGATAGCGTAAGACGTGGCAAGGTGAATTAGGTGGCAAGTGCAGCCTATGACAACCAGGTGGGGAATTTCATTTTTAAGCAAAGCTTGCACAGAATTGTGTTTTCCCAACATGACATTTGTGGTATCAGAAGTAAATCCAATTGCATTCTGTATTGGAACGTCATATTTTAAAAATACATCTTTAATTGTTGTAAAAATGCCAATAGCCGTCCCGTCATTGATATCAATCATATCAAAAAATCAGTATATTACAGATTTGGTTACGATGTCAAAGAATGTTATGATGATTGCCAACTGCTTTTTTTGAGTAAGATCTATCGTTTCATCTATGATCATGTTAAAAAAGTTATTTTTCTTTGTGTTAACTACTTGCTGTTTGTATGTGAATCCTGTAACTTGTCGTAAGATATTCGTAGCGTTTTGCTTACCTAGACGTACTTCTGGTAAGTATTTGGATTCAGGAAACAAATTTCGCATAAGTGCCACCAAATCCTCAGTTAATGAAATTGATTAATCATGTTTTGCAAGAAAACCGCATATCTTCAGTTCCATTTCTAACGCTTTATTAGTAGAGTTCAAGTGTCCACTTAAGAACGATGTCATATTACCATATTTTGATGTTACGGCTATCTGTTTAACATGTTTTGCACTTTTTTGATGTCGCAGCAATTCAGACATACCACAAGTAATATGACAATCGCAGAGTTTACAATAGGCTTTAGTTTCACCTTTATCCGAACGTTTTAACCAATGCTTAAAATCTGGATTCTCCAACCATGAGCTTTTAAATTTTTGCATGTATTTTTTTTCTTTAGATTGTACTGTGTCGGTGCCTGAAGATGACGGTAACTTATCATTTTCTTCCATGTTCACTAGTTTTCACTAACGTTAACAGTCTAAAACTGATAAAGAAACACTATTTATTTTGTGAATTTCTATCCCGCTTCGTTACTTTCAAAGGTGCAGCGATGAGCAATGAATAAGAATGAAAATAGTTTGTAAGTCAATGCAACCGGACCAAATTCTAAGATATTCATAAGCAAAAGATATCCATGAACTCATTGTCATATTAAACTTGGTCGTATATTAATGTGACAGAAACTTCAGGGAATTCCCGTCCATTATGGTCGCTAAGTACAAACAATCATAGAAAAAACTGAATAGTCTATGGGTCTATGTCAAAATAGTGTTGCTATTTTTTTATCGATTTTACCCTAAATTACCCCAAATCTTTAAAAAAGAAAGAAATCCCGAAGGAAAAATCAACGATTTCGCCCTAAAAGTGGAAACACTGGCAGCGACCGTCTCGCTGTCACCTGTCTCGCGTCTCTGTCTCCTGTCTCTGTCTCGCTCGCGAACTGTCACCTATACATTTCCTAATATCAAGTAACGGTCGCGATCTCCGGTCGCGGTCTCCTGTCTCTGCCGCAGCGCGAACCGCCACCTTGTACCATGTAAAACATTTTCAATTCTTTCAAATAATATATATTTTCTTCTTGAACGATTTTGCTGTAGCAACTTCTAAGTAGATATTAAAAACCTTCACGTAAAAAAAAACATCGCCTTGGTTTAAAATAAGTTCAATTATTGATACTTATAGAAAAATAAATACGTTTTGACATAACCGATAAACTACAACATACGAGTATTTCTACATAGAAACCAAATTACTAAGTATAAAATAATTAACCTTATAATTCATTTGATTAAAAATTTTCAAAAATTTATATGTTCATTTTATATAAACGAACATTCACAATTAAATTTAACGACTTTGGCCTCAGTCTTTCGATTCGCCATCTGCAATGTGTCTCGAGCATTTTTTTATCAATTTAGTGATGTATTTTACTACTTTATATATTATTGTCGTAAAGTGCATTAAATATATCTATTATATAGTATATCTAGCCCGGACCGAGAAAATGATTGGAATGTGAAGTTGAAGTTTAGTAAAATTAACAGTTATTTTTTATTAACATTGGAAGTGGAATACTCCTTAATATACTTTATTAGGTTGATGAGATAATTTTTCAATAGGCATGGTAAACTTTTAAATTTGCAAAGTTATTATAGAACATAAGAAGTTTCTGTTGTGATTTACTTTAGCTAAACATAATAATGATCGTTATCTTTGCATACGATGCAAAGGTCTATCTATGCATAGGTGGCAAAGGTGGTCGATCTATACATATGCGTTGTACTTACCTTGTGTGTAAGATTTAAGCGACCACGACTTATAAATATAGGATAGGGCGCCAGACCGAGAAAATGATTGGAATGTGAAGTTGAGGGGTAGTAAAGTTGAGTTAGTTGCCTTTTATTAACATATGAATTGGAATACTGCTTAACATACTTAATTAGGCTGGTGAGTGTATCGCTTAGTAGCTATTGGTGGGTTTAGGACCCATAAGAGCGTTAACAGATGATGGGTAATAAAACAAGTCAATTTTTATAATTAGGGTTCAATGGGAAGCTCGCAATGTGGATCAGTATATAAGATAGGTACAATTTTATATGGCCCTAGTCAACTGTGCGCAACAGCTAGGTCTCGGTCATCCACTGTCCTGGTAGTGCTACGGCGAGATGTACGGCCGAAGAGGTCCAGTGGTGTAGATGTTAGAGCCAGAAGATGGGTCCGAACCCAGCGCTTCAGCACCCGGATTTAAGGTGCAATCGATGATCATGAAACTTCTCAGGGGCGGGAAGGAACCCTAAATGAGATTAAAAAGAAATGTCACAGCCATCATATTGTGTTCAGGCGGTGCGAGGTAAAAAGCAAGAACAGATGGAATAACGCCATGGGTAGTGATCAGTGATGAAGCAGACAAACAGGCAAGATAATTAAGCAAAGAAAAGTGGTGTGCATTTCTAGTTAAATAAAAGAAACAAGTGGGTATTTATAAATGCCACGTCCAAAGGGTGTTCAATGGGACTAAAACACGCCCGTTAATGGACTGCATTGCGCCTGCGATGCGGAGAACAATAGCTTCGAGCAGGACAAGTTGTTAAGCCCGTCTTTCAGTAACAACTGCGGCAGGTCTGATTAACCTAGTTATACCACAGGAAAAAAAAGTGAAACAAAGGTAGATGTTACGATAATTTATTGTCTGATATCTTATCACGATGGCTATGAGCTAATAAGGAAATCACAGGCCTGACTAGAAGAGTTGTCGCTTCCAAATCAGTTAGCTTCAGGATCCACTTATCTTGTGCCGCCCGTACAGCGGTCCAGTAGGTTAGCAAGAAATAGTGTGATGCTGACTGGTAAAATAATAATCCTCAACGCAGCAAGTGTCCTCAGCTGTACCTAGGATCCTGGAATCCCAATAGGTTCCATTAGCAATCTGCCAAATCCTATCGCAACAGACGTAGCTATCAAGTCCACTAATTTTTCCAATAACTATTTATTAATTAAGCACACACTGCAGATAGTACTATGATATAACTAAGAACAATAGGCAATTATCCTATGGTGGAAATATACATCAAATTGTTGTTAGCTTAATAGTAAATATTATTATAAACTAATTTAACCAATACTTTATTCAAAAATATGTGTGATTTCTTTTTAAAATGATAAATAAAATAATTAAATTTTTGCTTTTGATCACGTGATTGAAAACGCACTGGATTGGCTGAATCACAAGTGACGTCACCTGCATGTAAACATCAAATGTTAGTAGAAGTTTTGTAAGGAGATTTAACATTTTTCGCATTTTTATTTGATTATTATTTCCTGTGAGACTAAAAGAAGAAATTGTCATAAAGAATATAAGATGGAGACCAACTTTGTTAAAGCTGATAGTGGAAACCTCCCTAGAATAGACGCAATCATGGTCGTATTATTCTTCAAAAACAATCCTGATTTTTACGCTCCTGAATTAAAAAACGTGAAAACTGTAATGTAAGTAGCTAACAGTATATATATATGTGTGACGAAATTATTATTTATTTAGGAGTAATAAAGAGATTTGAATTAGGACAAGACGGTTGGTGTCTATTGTTAATATTTTAGGTTATGTTAACCATTTTGTAAGATGTTACTTGTTATGTTACAAGTATACTCATCTAAAGCTAATAAATTAAAAGAAAGGAGGTGTTTATATGATGTAAATGTACATTTATTTACCAAATTAGCATTTCGTGGACTAAAACTATTTTTATGTATAACATGGAAAAATACACTGTGATGTTTCTCATTTTTTTACAGCTCCTCAAGGGAAACCTACGGAAATGATGCTATTGGATATGTACAACTATTCCGTCAATCCGGTATTTGCACAATAAAATGTAGAATGTGTCCCGAACATAAAGTAAGGGCTAAGTGTTATTCGGTGACTCTTGTAGTAGATGAAAACAACAGTAATATTGTAAGCTGCCAGTGTCATGATTGCGCAGCTGCTGCTGGAGGCTGTAAGCATGCAGTGGCTTTCCTAATGTGGGTTCATAGGCGCAGTGAAGAACCTTCTTGCACCTCAATAGAGTGCTACTGGAAGAAACCAGTGCTATCTCAAGTCGGCACTAGTTTTAAATACATTACTGTGGAACAACTAGTTAAAAAAAAGTGAGTTATAATAGTCATGATGGACTTCTCACAGAATTTCATCAAGAGGCTAAAAAGAGAAAATTGAGAGTTGTAAACTTTTAAAATATAAACCTGATTATATATATACGGATATGAAAAGATTTTCACCGCACTATTTCATGCTACAAGTACATAAAAACGGCATTAATTATGTTAATCAGCTGCTAGATTTGTTGAAGGAACAGCTAGATGATAACAATTTAACTTTAATTGAGAAGGCAACAAGGACACAGAGTAAAAGCCATCTGTGGTATGAACTTAGATATGGCCGAATAACAGCATCAAAGGCATATGAAGTTAGTCATTGTAAAACTTCAGATGGAACATTAGTAGCTGCAATTATGGGAGCCAAGGCTCCTGAAACGAAAGCCATGAAAAGGGGTAGAATTTTGAAGGTAAACTGAAAAGGAAAATTAAGACCTGTGGACTTTTCCTTTCCAAAGAATACCCTATGATTGTAGCTACTCCTGATGGAATAATGAAGAATGTCATTATAGAAATAAAGTGTCCAACAAATGAAAATACAAAAAATAATTATATAAAAAATGGAAACATAACTTCAAAATATTTGGCACAGGTACAGCTACAAATGTTCACGAGTAAAATGGAAAGATGTTACTTCTGTGTAGCTAATCCAGATTATGAAACTTCACGTCATGTCGAGATCACTTTAGTACAATATGACAGAAAATATGTAAGTGAGCTGTTAAACAAATTATCAATATTCTGGATAAATAATATTTATCCATTATTGTCCCGTACAATCAATATATAACAGTGTTATAATAAACATGGGTGGGTACTTAAAATAAAATATTTATTGTTTAATTTGGCATTGTTTTATTTTTAATTTAATTTCCTTTGCATAATATAGACACTTAACCTATTTATTCACATCACTCTTCTTACAGACAGGTATACAAACAAAATATAGGAAAATTATAATTTAAACTTTAATGACAACAAGGTTACCGGATTCATTTTATAAGGGAATCTTGCAAGTTTATGAGAGCACCGGCTATAATAATGCAATCATCAATTACCTTAAGTATGTTATTATTTATAACTGCATGTTGTTTTAACATGTGGAACTCTCTTATACGTCTTATGACTCTTTCTACATGTATTCGTAAGCTAGCAATAATTTTGGTTTGACGAACTTCTGCCTTTAATAATTTGTAACCTGCAGCTACACTAGGTGGTCGCAGTAATTTTATGCCCTTTTGAGCTAGCACTTGTTCCACATGTTTAAAACCTCTGTCAGCTAAGACAATAGTTCCAG